CTTTCTTAAAAGGTCTCTTTTTATCAGAAATATATGCTCTGAATGAGCTAGTTCAGTAGTTTTGAAGATTGCACAGAAAAAAGGTGAGTACAATAGCTCTCCCTATGCTTTGAATAGTCAAGATAACTAATGTGACAAATATGGGGATTTTTAGAGAAAATCTCCTTTTACTGGGAAGGGGGAGGGGGATGGGGGTAATTCCAGATAAAGAAAAGGCATGATCTTAATATCTATGGCCTATTTGAGGCCATTTCCATTATTATATAATTTCCTGCATATGATGCTTTCTCTATAATGCTGACTTTTCATACCTCTTTATTGTATTAAAGAACTGATTTTTTTCCCCTTTTAAATGCACTGTATTAATCCTTGATCTTACCCATTAAACTTCTCATGAAAATGCCACCTTTACTGCAGTTCAATAGAGAGTTAAAGCATCTTTTTATGTGCATTAACATCTGCAGAAGCACAAGAATGCATTTAAAGCCTGTTTAATGTGCAAGTGCCATGCCATTTGACAGTAATGTTTTGATTATAAAGCTACTAGGGCCGTCACTGCATAAAGCTGTTTTTAACATTGCACCCGGAGTCACATATATTAAAAACATGCGGTCACGAGAATCTATCAGTTTATACATGACTTCTTCTCATTTAATATATGTCACACGGTGAGAAAAATGTGCAGCCTGACCAGGACTCGAACCCGGGACCCTCGGAATACCGTTCCGCGGTTCTACCAGCCGCTTACATATCTTCTCCCCTAAATAGTGAACAGTTCTGAACCGTGACATGTAATTATACATACATGCACAGTTTTTTTCTGTTACAAAATTTTTACCTATTGTTTCTGCAAAGATTCATCGAAACCTATATTGATGAATGTAGTTCAAAAACAATAACAATTTCACCAGATGGCAGCACACACATACATACCCACAGACAACAACCTGACTTAATGTCTCCCAATAGAAACATTAAAAAACATGTTCAACTATAAATGCTCAACACTGATTACAATGATGGGAGCTATCTTAACATAATATTACTAATATACGGAAGCATCTGCATGTTACGTCTAGATTTAATTTAGATACGGTAATATAAATCTTATCATCATCCGAATGACGTAACAAAATATCTTGATTTTATGCTTCCATTCAAAAAATCATTCTATTCTAAATATCATGAAAATTTAGAATGATGAAGGTAAATTAAAATGCAATATCAATTTCTAACATGCTGTATTTTTATTATTGACTTTTTTTCCTTGAATTTAGAACAGTCCTGTGGTAGTATATGAAAAACAACAATTGAGTAGCCCCAAAATTATTGTAAAGTGGCTTATTTATGCTCTACACTCTGAGAGGTGCATAAAGAGTATTTTTATTATCACCATTAACACTTAGTTTGGGCATGAACATTTCACAGCCATTGTAACAAGATCATTTAAAGTGACATTATGCTCTTATAATCACTGTCAAGTTGAGTTGAATTTATAGTTATAATGGTGATTGAACAACAGTTGATATTGAAATATGTTAAGATTAGCTTAAAACTATTATAGAAAGACTGCCCCACTCTTTGTATTTATTGTTCATATTATTTTGACTTTCATTTAGTGAATTTTAATACACCTGTTAAAATCAATCAATTCTTGTGAGTGATCAAGTTTTTATTTGAATTTATTTTTCATGATTTCAAATTATAGTACTGCTTATATTTTCAAAGCAGGTAACAATATCATTTTTCATAAATATTCACAAAAAACGTTGATTGCATTTCTATATAATCATTGTTATATGTTTATTTGCATTTTCATCATCTAAATGGTATATGTATCATCTTAAAAGAAAAACTCTTTGATTTTGGCAATATTCTGGTATAATGAAATGTCACAGTGTTAAGTCTCCATCACTTTATTGTGCTGAAACCCTATCTAATTCTTCAACTTAATGTTAACTTCCTATATTGTTTATGTATCTTTATCTTTACTGTGCTGAAACCCTATCTAATTCTTCAATTTAAAGTTACCCATCCTGCATTGTTTATGTATCTTTATCTTTACTGTGCTGAAACCCTATCTAATTCTTCAATTTAAAGTTACCCTTCCTGCAATGTTTATGTATCTTTATCTTTACTATGCTGAAACCCTATCTATTTCTTAAACTTACAGTTAACTTCCAGCATGGGTTGTCTTTACATGTATATCTACAGTCTGTTCTGAAACCAGTTCAAATTCTTCAAGACATAAAATCAGAAAAACAGAAGACATTTATCACATCCAGAGTTTAATGAAATTGCTTCCAACTTCAAAAATTAATTTTCTTTAACTCAACTAAACAACTCCCTTTTTGAAAATGTGTGTTGAGAATGAAATTTGATTAAAGATCTCTTGACATTCTAAATGACAAAAATAAAAGAAATGTTAAAATTTAATGTAGAAATGTAATCAACATTAGATCAGATCAATTAAGGTGCCAAAAACAAACAAGTTCATAGCATTGTTTCAAGTTTCTGCCATCCCTGACAATATACCAAGTTCCTGGCATTCCTGACAATGTATCAAGATCATGGCATCCCTGACAATGTATCAAGATCATGGCATCCCTGACAATGAATCAAGATTATGGCATCCCTGACAATGTATCAAGATCATGGCATCCCTGACAATGAATCAAGATCATGGCATCCCTGACAATGTATCAAGATCATGGCATCCCTGACAACAAATCAAGATTATGGCATCCCTGATAATGTATCAAGATCATGGCATCCCTGACAATGAATCAAGATTATGGCATCCCTGACCATGTATCAAGATCATGGGATCCCTGACAATGGAATCAAGATCATGGCATTCCTGACAATGTATCAAGATCATGGCACCCCTGACAATGTATCATATCATGGCATCCCTGACAATGTATCATGATCATGAGATCCCTGACAATGGAATCAAGATCATGGCATCCCTGACAATGTATCAAGATCATGGCATCCCTCACAAAGTATCAAGATCATGGGATCCCTGACAATTGAATCAAGATCATGGGACCCCTGACAATGTGTCAAGATCATGGCACCCCTGGCAATGTATCATGATCATGGCATCTCTGACAATGTATCAAGATCATGGCATTCCTAACAATGTACCAAATTTCTAGCATCTTTGACAATGTACCAAGTTCCTGGGATCCCTGACAATGTACCAAGTTCCTGGCATCCTTGTCAATATACCAAATTTCTAGCATTTTTGACAATGTATCAAGTTCCTGGGATCCCTTACAATGTACCAAGTTCCTGACATCCCTGACAATGTATCAACATCATGGCATCCTTGTCAATGTACCAAATTCCTAGGATCCCTGACAATGAACAAAATTTCTAGCATTCCTGGCAATTGGGAAATCAATTATGGTTGTTTGACAGGCTTAATTGGTTCTTTCCACAGGCCAGTACCACATGTACAGTTCAAACACATTTCTAGATACTCCAGGTAGCTGCAGTTGAGTTCCTAATGAGATATCTATTTATAGTAACATCTTGTTAACTACCTGATTAATGTTCATGGACAGAAAAACTACCCCTATACATGTATTGATAATACACAGATATCAAAACAATTTATCTGTTCAAAGCCAGCATAAAGTCAAACTCTCCTGGGATAATGTTTTTATTAAGAACAGTATCATTGTCTTGAAAATTGGAGGTCCATTCATCAAAAAACGATCCATTTTTGCATGAGTTGCATACATCAATTAAAAGCAGGGCTAGGAATAGCTGTTATATACTGTATAAAGACTTAGTGCATATCAGTCCCTCTTATTATAGAAAACTGTGGTCTGGGAATTGAAGCATAATTGAAAGCACGATGTTGATTAATTAGATATAATCAGATATGTTATCATTCATTATTACAATATGATCCAGTCTTTACAGTTGTATCAAATCTCTTTGTTTGTAAATCATTATCATTCATTCTAATATTAATAGGCGTCATTCAAAAAATGAGTTCAAGTATTTAATCATTCTGAACAAAAAATGAGTTTTATTTTGTCAGTTAATTGATCACTGCAGACAAAAATGAATCCAATTTTGTACAGACAAATAAGAATTGCAGCTCTCCTCCCAATAGATTTAAAGCAATCTATCACCAGAATGTTTTGTTAGAGCTTTGAACTTTTTTGTATTCTAAAAGCAGGAAAATATACAACAAACTTAAAAGTGGTAAACTATGTCTTAAATACAACAAACTCAAGACTGACCTATTTTAATACAATGTTGCTATGTTAAAGGGAGGTAAGATTAGTAAAGGGAGGTAACTATGTGGAAAAAATAAATCTTGTGACAGTCAGAGTTTACATGAAAACAGTTTATATTTTACTTTACTCTAATTAAGGTACTACTTATACTGAATGTGCTAGGTGCAAAAGAAATTATGCTTGAAGATGAATTCCATCATGAAATAAGACAAGGAGGCAAGGAGTACAAACACACAAATTGTTGTTTACATCTCACATCCTTACAGTCTTATTGAATAGACACTATCAATATATATATCATAATAGTTTTGATAAGAGTTTGTCAATGATAACTTCTCTATTAAATGATAAAACAACACTCACAATGCTCTTGGCAAATGCATCTTGGAAACAAAAAAAATCAACTATAATGCAGAAAGTATTACTGTAAATAAGTCGGTTGCCGGAGATTCCTATAATCTTAATATTCTATGGTTGCAGTTAGTTGCAGCTTTATCTTATTAGACGGATATAAAATACTCTTTAAATGCATTAGGCATGTTATTCCTTTATAATCAATCGAAATGCTTGGTATTGCACTGCTTCATTAAAAATCATCTACATTCTATACCTACATATTTTCTCTACAGATTTGGAAAACTGAATTCTGTTAATCCAAACCATTGCAGGCATTAAAGTATTCATAATGAATAAGTTAAATTAATATCTGTGAAGATATTGTCTAGGTATCTAGATAGTAAAATGTTTATCTTCAACTAACCTTCAATTCTACCAAAAATAAATAAATTCAGGACCATTAATTTAATGAATATTGGTCTCATATTGGTAACACATTCTGATGTTTGTAGGAAATATGTTTATCAGTTTAATAGTGATGTAAATGTGACATTTACGATACTAGTTTTTTTTTGAAATTCTTAAATTTTGTAAGTTTTTGCTACTCTATATAACAGTTGAGGTGAGATTTTACAGACCGCTATAACAATTTGATGGGCAGGTACACAACTTTCAATGTCTTCAATCAAATTTGTAACAATAAAACTCACTACATGCATTTTATTATGAGGGTGTTGGAATGGAACCAAAAACATACTGGCACGAAAAATAAACCACTAGTTAGCTGATAGCATCAGCTGCAATGTTCAGGTGTGATTTCTGGCGTTCCTACCAATAACTACACAAGACCTGTCATTTATACAAAGGTAATGTCAAAAATGATAGCACCACAGTCACTGTCATCATCAACATGATTATCTTTCACTCTTGTGTGACAATATTGCTGGAATTATAAACACTTAAACGTGATACATACATTACTGTTCATTTACTTACCTTCATTTTCTAATGAACTGTAATGAACTGAACAGGTGAACAAAACAAGACAATTTTCTGTGTGACTTGGATAAAGATAAAAAAAAAAAACACTATTACCTATGTTTTCTCAAGGATTAATAAAATACAATGATACAGAACAGCTGAATGGTTATCTTAGTCACCAAAGTTATATATCTATCTATCTATCTTCTTACTAAAATGTGATAAGAAAATCACAAATTTTGTTCGGTGCTGACAGTTTGTGAGGTAGAGTCAATGCAATCAAAATATTGCCATACTGGGATGTTCAGTAATTAATCATTTATTTCAATTCATTTACTTTATTTTTTTTGACTGATTACAAGCTGTGACTAGAAATCATTTGTTGCATTCATTAACACGCTACAACAGCTCTTTGTTTGTTTCAAAATTATTCTTCAAGAGAATGTTGTTTTTTTGTTTTATTTCTCTTTTTTTTTTCTCCAAAAGCTACAGTGAATGTCATCTCCCTGATTAGCAAGTAATTCAGCATAATTATGTGAGTTATAAAGCTGTAACTGATTCATTTAATGATATAAGTGTGGATGCCGACTTTTACTGTGATTCTCCACAACCAGTGACAAGGATTATACTGTGAAATATTCACCAGTGCTTTCACTACCTGATACTGGATTTTTATTTTTTGTGTGTATTTGTAATAATAAAAAAAAAAATTGTGATAAAAAGTGTATTAATTATAAACGACATTGAGAGTGGTTGGGGTTTTTTTCTGTTTGTATGTAACCATGGCAATGCGAGTGAGTACAAGTATTGCTCCCGGGCAGAGTCTCCAAGAAACAAGCCAGGTAAAAGCTTGTATAAATATAACAATTAATATGTGCATGACAGAAATATGTAATGATTTATTACACTCCCTGTATTCCCCTCCACTCTTATTATATTCTATAATATATTAGATATATTTACCTTGAACACTCCCTTTTCCCTAGACATTAATGCTATTTTAATCTACTGTATTAAGTTATCATTTACTAAAAGACACTGATATAATTACAGTAAAGAGCTTATTATGATGACAATGATTATAATTATGTAAATCTACTTAGATTTAAGTTATCAATTAAGATACATGATACTGTCACACCTAACTTGCAGATGAGATTTGTTATCTTTTGTTGTAATATGTATCAGAACCTAAGACAATGTATAAACAGCAGAAATATCAGCGTCACATTATTAAAAGATGCTGGTAATGTTACAAGTTTTATGTGAAATACAACTTTCTTTTGTATAAACAACCGTGCAAAATAACTTTTAAATGATCCATTTATATTTGAGAAGAAATTGTTTTTTCCAGACGAAAATGAAAACCTATCCCACAATTTATTTCACTGTGCAACCAATGTGTTTACATCTAAAGAAAAAACTTCAAAAAAATTCTGTACATAATGCCATAAGATTGTGCTTTAACATACTTAAGGAATATAAAAAAGAAAATATCTGAGATAAAGTGTTATAATCATAGACAATTTCTGCAAGAACAGAACATATCTCAATATAAAACCAACAATGACACCTCAACACAAGATCAACAGAGACACCTAACACCAAATCAACAATTAGGGGCCTACACCTCAACACAAAATCAACAAAGAGACCTTAATACCAAATCAACAAAATGACACCTCAACATAATATCAACAAGGACACCACAACACAATATCAACAAAGATACTTCTATACAAAACCAACAAAGGCACTGACCTAATTTTTCAGGAATTCCAAACCAACTAACCAACCAATGAAAGTATTCACTGATTCAAATGATTGAGTTAGGTATATTTGATTTGATTACACATTCATCATATAATATCAAATCAGGATTATTGAGAACTGTGTTAAATGGTGCAAGGAGTAGCTTGTCTAATTCAAGTTTATTCAATGCTCCTTTTTTGTCTTGAATTTCTTAGTTAAACAAAAATCATTAATAATTGCTTTTAACTGAGTACTTCTTGACATGAAACAAAATGTCTGCACAACCCGCCGCACAACCTTAATGCTTTATTTCATAATTCAAAATTTGATCAAACCCAGCTTCATAAATCAAATATGAAATTCTAAGAATAACTTGATAAGCCTTAATTTAAATAAAAACATTTAAATTTGCTAAAAATCGGCTTCATAAATCAAAATTTTTAATATGAAATACTAAGAATAATTGGATAAGTCTTGATTTAAAGAATATGAGTAAAGCAGGTAAGTATATCTAAGGTATTAACAAGGTAACGGTTGGTAGGTCAACATCCTTCTTTTACATTCCATTAATTAATGGCTAATAATATTCTTGTTTCCATGAACTTTTGCCAATGAAAAATTGCAAACTTCAACCTCTCTCACAACATTCCAGTCCAAAATCAATAAACAAATTTTGTTTTCCAGCCAGTTTATTTCCTTCAACTCACAGAAATCAACAAAGATAAGATTAAAGGCAGTAGCAAATCCCCTTGTACAATGTATAATATACAAACATCAGTTTCTGGCCTGAGACTGCTAAATTTCTTTACTTAATAAAATATATCACTTTACAGTAACTGAAAACCATGTAATATAATCAGCAAGTTAATTATTCCTAAATATCCAAAAACTAGCAAAATGAAAATCAAACATTCTGAAGTCTAAACTTTAATTCTACATGTTTAATATTGATGATTACCTACGAAAATAACTGCAATGTTGTAACAGAATAAACATAAAGAACAAACATCTGCAATATTGTAACAGACAAATAACTGCAATGTTGTAACAGAGTTAATTTTAAACAACAAATAACTGCAATGTTGTAACAGAGTAACTTCATATAACGAATAACTGCAATGTTGTAACAGAGTAACTTAATACAACTTATAACTGTAATGTTGTAACAGAGTAACTTTAATCAACGAATAACTGCAATGTTGTAACAGAGTAACTTTAAATCAACAAATAACAGCAATGTTGTAACAGAGTAACTTTATACAACAAATAACAGCAATGTTGTAACAGAGTAACTTTATACAACAAATAACAGCAATGTTGTAACAGAGTAACTTTATACAACAAATAACAGCAATGTTGTAACAGAGGTAACTTTATACAACAAATAACAGCAATGTTGTAACAGAGTAACTTTATACAACAAATAACAGCAATGTTGTAACAGAGTAACTTTATACAACAAATAACAGCAATGTTGTAACAGAGTAACTTTATACAACAAATAACAGCAATGTTGTAACAGAGTAACTTTATACAACAAATAACTGCAATGTTGTAACAGAGTAACTTTATACAACAAATAACAGCAATGTTGTAACAGAGTAACTTTATACAACAAATAACAGCAATGTTGTAACAGAGTAACTTTATATAACAAATAACAGCAATTGGTTACAGAGTAACTTTATACAACAAATAACTGCAATGTTGTAACAGAGTAACTTTATACAACAAATAACTGCAATGTTGTTACAGAGTAACTTTATACAACAAATAACTGTAATGTTGTAACAGAGTAACTATAAACAATGAATAACTGCAATGTTGTAACAGAGTTACTTTAAACAACATATAACTGCAATGTTGTACCAGAGTAACTTTAAACAACTAATAACTGCAATGTTGTAACAGAGTAACTTTATACAACAAATAACTGCAATGTTGTAACAGAGTAACTTTATACAACAAATTACAGCAATGTGGTTACAGAGTAACTTTATACAACAAATAACTGCAATGTTGTAACAGAGTAACTTTATACAACAAATAACAGCAATGTGGTTACAGAGTAACTTTATACAACAAATAACTGCAATGTTGTAACAGAGTAACTTTATACAACAAATAACAGCAATGTGGTTACAGAGTAACTTTATACAACAAATAACTGCAATGTTGTAACAGAGTAACTTTATACAACAAATAACTGCAATGTTGTTACAGAGTAACTTTATACAACAAATAAACTGTAATGTTGTAACAGAGTAACTATAAACAATGAATAACTGCAATGTTGTAACAGAGTTACTTTAAACAACATATAACTGCAATGTTGTAACAGAGTAACTTTATACAACAAATAACTGCAATGTTGTAACAGAGTTACTTTAAACAACATATAACTGCAATGTTGTAACAGAGTAACTTTAAACAACAAATAACAGCAATGTTGTAACAGAGTAACTTTATACAACAAATAACTGCAATGTTGTAACAGAGTAACTTTATACAACAAATAACAGCAATGTTGTAACAGAGAACAAATGAATTCAATGTTGAGTACATAAAGAACAATCAACTGCAGTGTTGTGATGAACTTAAGAAACACATAATTCTAATGAATATATATCAGTAACAAGCCTAATAGATAACACTGTTACCGACAAGTGTTTCCTGGCACAAGTTTCCCCATGTCTTAGATTGACAATATGCAATGTATCAAGAAAACTAGGGTGAAAGATATCACTCTACGTTAATGCTTACATTTTATTATTATTACCTTGATGACGTAAAACCACAGAATCTGCTTAGTGTAAATTTCCATCTATTCTCATACTAAAATAAACTTCTTTTTTTTTTCAGTAAGAATTTGAGTTTTATGTGATATAAATAGAAAATATATCATGTACAAGGCTGAGATATCATAAACTTTATCATACAAAATAAGTCTTATATCATTATAGAACAATGTTTTCTCTATGGGAATTATCAGGTAACAGTTATCATTTATCTTATATTAAGCTTTGAACTATAAACAGGTATTTTTTTACTCAAGTCCTGAAACTCTCTTGACTTCTAAAATACTGCGTAAAATCAATTAAACATCAGTGTGATCCATGATATTATCAAATATTATTTTTGATTATTATTAAAACCCATTATCAAAAACATTTTTTGGGGGGCTTAAATTAAAAAGAGGCAGTTTTAGCTGTTTAGTAATTTTAGTTTTATCCTTCACTCTGCCAAATTTCTTATATTTATAAAGTTTCCAGTTTTGGAACTATCCATGATATCTTGATGAAAATTTGAAGTTAGTAAAGTCAAGTAAGTCTGTACTGATGTGCAGGCCGGCCTACTGGTATCTTTATACTGGTGGCAAAGGCTTATCAGCAAGGGTCAATAGGCAAGTAATTCACACTAAAAATATACCTTCTTATAAACAATTAATTTGGCATGGACAGACCCTGCACATATGGTACAGCACATGTCAATGTTAACAGAAGAAAACCATTGCAACTTACTTTTCGTATAGGTCCATATACTTCAAATTCTCTACGTAGTTTAGATTCACTTGTATCATAATTCTGAAAATAGAAAACAAAATGACATTGTTAAAGAACTGCCCGATAAATTATTATACACCTTTATAAAGGAAATTGAATGGCCAAATTAATATACTGAAACCTGGCCCACTTTGTGTGTTTCACCTCCTTAATCCTTTTTATTAATTTAAATACTTATAATTATTTTTGTGTTCAAAATAATGCATGTACATGATTTCATAACACATGTGTAATCATTCATTCTATACCTTTAAAAGTCTCTTATTCATTCATTAAGTCAAAACTCTTTTCCTAGCCAGGACCTTTATATAATACATGTTTTTCATAAGAATTTCTCAATACAAATTGAATATCATTTAATGCAAGACTTTTTCTACAATTTCTTCTGCATTCTACCTTTTAGCCAAAGTAAATTAGGAAGATAGCATATAAACAATCAAGAGTGGACAACTCCACAAGTACTAAAATTGACTTCAAAGGGAGACAATCTAAAACAAATTACAGGCCATATAAATTATACTTGTTATTTCGGAGCTACAAGAGGCAATTGGTGCCAATTTGAGAACAAAAAATGATGTGCGCCAACATTCTGACATTCTTTAGCTTCTATCATAGATCAATAGAATTAATCTAGCTGGTTATTCTGTTTGAAGGTTCTTGTACTCTTCTGCTACATTATGTACATGTCAGAACGAGACAGGTTCCCCTCAATCACCCGCATTTTAAGTAGTAATATATACAACAAAGAATCAATTCCTCACTCAAAACGCTTTTCATAACACCGAGTGGTAATTAGGTTTTCTGGTGAGAACAATATTTCTAGATCAAGTTAAACTCGGACAAATAACCAAGCTGACATTTAACGAAATGGAATAAATTGCTCAATTATTTTGGCTACCAGAGCCAAACCACTGGGAAAATATGAAGTAAACTGCACCAAATATAGAAAATAATGGCCTTCCAGCATAAAAAGTGCCAACCAATTGTCATATACAATCAAATACATACTGTATTTATATATAAATATAAAATGGGAAATTATGAGCATTTGTGTTTTTACAAATTCACTACAGTATAACTACTATATTTTCATTTTCTTTTAATTAATATATATTCTCCACATATTAAGGTAGGAAGACAAGAGATTTATAATTGTGTATACTGCCTTAGCAAAAAAAAATCTTCACTTGCAGACTGCGTCATTTGGCATTTGAAATTTCTTATTTCCCAAGACAAGATGCATCCCCGTGTCAACATTGATAAAAGGAGAAATGTCTAAAAATGACATCCCTAATCCAAGCCAGGCAACTTTGTCTGTATAAACAAGCAATCAATAATTATGAAATGGACTTTCACAGCAACATAATATGATTTCACAACACTATAGATATGTTAAAATGTCAAACAAATAAACTATTTGATGTAATTCATTACACTATCTAGAGATAATAAAAGACATTCAAATGATGAGAATATTTTGATAAAGTCTGAGAGGGTAAAGGGTAAGCTGTTTGTGAGAAATGAGAGACTGGCTTCAAATGATGTGGGGGAGTTGCTGAGGTTGCGGTTGCATCAAGTATTGTTTATTAGATTTCTTTGACTATTTTAATTCTTTCATTTGATTAATCCATCTTTACTTATCTTAGATAAAGTTCGAAAGTTCACATGCATGAAATACTGCATGGAAGGACGGACACTTTGGGATGGGGCAGGCTCTTCCGCAATTAAAAAAGCTAAAAACATCTCCATATTTGTATGCCGACCTTTATTAGCAAAACCAAATCTACCAGCTGAAATAGTTCATTTCTTTTAATTGCAAATTTAGACTAAAAAGTATACAAATCAAGATTTTATGTTGACTTTTAGATTTTTTTATAACCTTATAAGATTATGAACTAGATTGATAAGTAGCAGACCTCATTTCCATATACAGTGTGGGTGGAGAGGGTTTAAAACCATTCTATGCAAATAAGGCATCATAGACTAGACAAAACAAACAAGTAGAAGCTGAACATCAGTGGAATAATCCTTTAACAACAGACATAAAGTCTTCATTATAACAGATAGCTCCAGTGTTTATCTCAATGAGGTTTTTCTTTATATCTATCTTGAAAAAGAAAACATCTTTTATTTGGATTTTTCTACTCAAATCAACACAGTTAAGGTCAACTGGTAAAATTTCAGCTTTACTGACAAAAATCTCAGACCTACAGTGCCTCTATATTTTATTTTCAAAACTGGCACTTGGAAGGAACTGCAACATTTTCCTTTTTACCAGATAGTTTCATAGCTTTACAAAACAAAGAGACTTATAAAAATGAAGAAATGTCCATGGCAGGATCTTTTACTGCTACTGAAGAATTTTATTCCACATCAAGCTTACATCTTAAAAACAAATCAGTCAGATGGGTTGTAAAAATGGTGAAATCGTAGACAAGTTATTGGCATTCGAGTGGAAGAGTATTGCCCCTGTAAATGGAAATTATGAAAGCGTGACTAAAATAGAAACTTCTTTGTTTGTCTAACAATACAAGTGAGATTTTTCTGCATAGATGTCATAATTTATAATAGAGACCTCATATTGTAAGAAAATCTTGAGACTGCAGGGCAATCATAAATATCTCAAGTTGTCACGAAAGTTCAACAAAAGCTTAAGTTTCTTGTAAAACTACTATTGCAAGCAACACAAAAGTTCAAGAGCATATATAATCATATTTTTTTACAATTTCACATACTTGTTTGTTTTTCTGTTTCTTTTTTGTCAATTGTAACACATTATTAAATTTTGGTCAAACTATAGCGGTAGATCCACCAAACAGACTTTCCTCCCTACAGAAAATCAAACTGGGATCTGACCCGGATCCCACTGGGATCCTGGTAGGATGATCAAATCCCAGTGGGATATCATCATATAAGCAGGATGTAAAGTAATCCCAGTGGGATAATGGTACTGGGATCCCAGTGAAATGGCATATCAATCCCACTTAGATTTCCCAGTGCGATCCCATCCTTATCAATTAGATTAATGCCAGAAAATTGATGAGCTTCTTATGAATCACACAGGGTTCATGAATTGTCCCTTCTATAAGGTTAAAGGAAATCATTTGATTATTCTGGTCCTAAAATATGTACATGGTCCAAGAATCTCTGTCATAGTTGATAATGTCCGAAATTTTGATTATTCAAAAATAGGTGCATTTGCAAAATATTCATTGGAAATTTCTTTTATCCAGAAAGATAAGAAAATTATGCATAATATACACTTTAAAACCATATATTATTAACTTTAATGATTTTTTTTGCCACTGGGATAAGGGTTGGATCCCACTGGGAAATTTGGTCAGGATCCCACTCCCGACCAATTTTCCCAGTGGATCCCACTGGGATCCCAATTAAAATTCCACTGGGATCCCACCCTCATCCCAGTGGGATTGACAGTCAATTTTTCAGTAGGGCTGGATAACCTATTATGACCTAATTCTCCACTGACTGCTAATTCCAAATGATTTCTGAAACTGCAGTGAGAGACAATGACCTGAATGTTCGAGATCAATTGTCACTCACCCAAGGATCAAACCAGCAACCTCTGTATTACTTATCTGATACCATCCCAATCTTGCTACGCAGTCAGACAATTTGATGGTATGAAAATCCAAAATTAAAGGTCTTTGTTCCCCATCCCTACTGTCACCACCAGGGGTACTATGTTCATAGTTACATCCGACTACTACATCTACTTCAAATTAACATAGCTCATGGGGCACAGTATTATTTTTCCAGGACTAACTGCTGCATACATTTAATGTTGCTTTGATCCTTAATTGACAATATACATTCCTTAATTGACAATATACATTACCATAGTATAACACTGAGAAAACAAAAAATATCACACTGAAAATTGATGTATGATCTCTTATCAACAATATGTGTGACTTTACATGTAGTCAGTTTCAGATATGTTCAATATTTGTCCCAGAAGATTGAAATTTAGATAAAAAAAGATCTGAGAATACCATTATAAAATCCCTTGATATTTCAGTAACAGAGTTACAGATCGGTGATGTGAATACAACAATGATTTTGAGGATATTTTCAGACACATACATAAAGTCTTTATTTTCTCTGCTTCACCAATTCTCTGTTATTATCAAAAAAATAAATAATATGAGATTCTAACAAAATGAATACAGACATGGAAGAAACTGAAATTTTAAATTAATGTTACACTCGTAAAAATAAAGGCAGAGAGAGAGGAAATAAATCCATCTCAAAATATTCTCAAATGAATCGAATAATTCTCATTAAAGTCCACATTCCCTGCACAAAAATTGATTTACATATTAAAGTCTCAATAAAATATAAATATATGTATAAATATATTTGTTAATTGTAGTTACCATTTACCCATTAAGATATTATCAGAGCTCAACTGAAGGCTTTTGTGTTCATGATATAATTTTCTGGTCTATTATAGTATATGTGTTTATATTGAATACTGCTATAGCTGGTGCTAGTGTGTGTTGAGAGGATGTTGCACCTTCCATTACCTCTCATTTACAGACTCTATAAAACTGATTCTGGTATTTTCACCTCTCATTTATGGACTCAATAAAACTGATTCTGGTATTTTCATCTCTCATTTACAGACTCTATAAAACTGATTCTGGTATTTTCACCTCTCATTTACAGACTCTATAAAACTGATTCTGGTATTTTCACCTCTCATTTTTATGGACTCAATAAAACTGATTCTGGTATTTTCACCTCTCATTTACAGACTATAAAACTGATTCTGGTATTTTCACCTCTCATTTATGGACTCAATAAAACTGATTCTGGTATTTTCATCTCTCATTTACAGACTCTATAAAACTGATTCTGGTATTTTCACCTCTCATTTATGGACTCAATAAAACTGATTCTGGTATTTTCATCTCTCAATTACAGACTCTATAAAACTGATTCTGGTATTTTCACCTCTCATTTTTATGGACTCAATAAAACTGATTCTGGTATTT